GTTGTAATAAAGGTAATTTTTTCCTCCACAGTGCTCAAACAAATGTTGTACAGCGAGAAGAAGATGTAATAAGAAGATGTAATAGACAATTGAAAGCCACCCACCATGATTTCTATTACAAAGAAAACAACAGTTAAAGAAAAAAGGAATGATAATGCTCATTAAAACTGTTATGAAAAGGTGCCAAGATTTTCGCCCGCAGGGATTCTTGGAAAGAGATCTTTGAAATGAAAAATTAAGCTGCCGGCAGAGATCGCTGAATAAATTTCCTACCGCGCACAATAGCTGTTCTCTTTTCCGCATTTTAACCAGAAAGTAGACGCAACCGGTCTATATGAAAACTTCGCAAATTAGTTGAATAAAGATTCAACATAATTATCTCGAATCGTGTACAAGTTAACATGATGCGGTCCTTAAATGGAACCTCAAAAACAAACCCCTACGTAATTGGCTGCTTGAAACTTCATGGGATGTTATAATTGGAGCATTTGTCATGAAACTTGAAGACTCGCACAGGAATACAAGTTGCAGTCCATTATGGCCAATAAGGTCAATCAACGGCTGAATGCATGATAAAAACTGACGAATATGTACGAAGCCTAATTTCGCATGTGTGAGCACTAAAACTGGAGGTCTGACAGACATACGCATAGGTAGAAGGTTTTTCATTAAATTAGAGTTATTTCTTATGACTTTTACGAAGCAAGAGGCAATAGTACTAAGTCAACCGACTTACGCTTATATTAGCGTTGCAGGGAAAAGTAACTTTAGGAGAGTTTGATTATGAAATAAAAACTTCGCGTCATCATCTGATTAACAAAAATATTACATTATGACGTGCTTCCGTTTTGCTATAGATCAAAGATGGCGTCAGAATGTGCTCGTGGCCGAGTGTATAATTGATGTTGTTACCACATTTTGACATATTATGTGATCTTGAAGTGTAAATCCACATCAACATGTAATCTGTTTGTTTAAGATGATAAAAAAAGCAAAATTTTGCAGATGGCGACATAAACTATGCGTCTGTCCTCCAGTAGATCTTTGGTAAGAGCCCAACAAATGGGTGAACAGTTAAGTTTAATTAAATATAATACTTTTAAAAATAGCAAACCTGATGGCGCTAAGATCTGTTAGTTCTTCAACCGACACAGCTGAAGTTGTGATGAAAGCCAGGTGATTTATCTCCACCACGCTGAAACAAATGTTATACAGTGAAAACAAGAAACCGTAATAGACGGTGGGAAGCCAAGTTTGATGGTTTCCACTACAGAGAATGCAACGGTTGACGCAGAGAGGAACTACGATGCCCATAAAAACCGTTGCCATAAGATGCCAAGATTTTCGCATTCCAATTTTCTGTGAAAGAACGGGTACTTTAACCATATCGCCGAGGTAACCAGAGATTATTGAGGTCAACGCGTCAACAATTTGTCCAATGAGTATTATAAGTCCAGCGTCTGCAGCTGAAAGGTCCACTACCTCCATGAAAAATAGGAGAGAAAAAAATGAAAACATGCACCTGCAGAGGTCATGGAATATACTTCCCGCTGCACACAGTAAAATTTCTCTTGTGCGCATTGTAAAAACGAGTCTCCTTGGTCTGGACACGCCACTCTCTCTCTCCTCTACTTAAGAATGCTTCGATTCTATGGGAAGCCCAATTCTACCACTTTTATATGGGTGTGTGACCTTCCCACTTGATAAGGAAATAATGCACCAATCACAGCTCGCTTTTTGTTTTCCAGATAGCCAATCTATCAAGATAGTCTTAGTGACATTTCGTTCCTCAGCCCTCACAATATTTTACTCTGACTAAAACGAACCAAGCTAGAAAATCATTAAGTTAATCTTTTGCGTCGTTTGAAAACCTAGATACTATAACTGAGTGCTTCTTTTCTTGGCGGTTTTACTGACTTTTTTAAGATAGATAATGTTTGGTTTCTCAATTGAAAATCACAGTAGATTGTGAAAGACCACAACAATTCAATATGATTTCTGGTGCAATTCGTATCCACAGTAATTTTTTTTGTTCTTATTACTCACACAATAAATTGACCTTGTTTAGTGGAATTCTTTAAACCATAGATTGACGCTAGAGCTTGGCTATAGCTCATTATTCTTGAGAGTCATCAAATTGACAAAGATCGAGGTTGATGATAACTAGACTAATTACGTAATTAAAAGGAAATTGATTGGGAAACATTGATGCAAATTCGTTCACCGCCACCTCCCATGACCTACATTTGGCCGGTTATTAAGTAGTGCTTTTAAAACATTGACATTGGAAATGAGTTTACCATCTCTTTGGAAGAAGAAATATGAACTGAATAACCTCTTTCGAACAAGGAATTACCGTTACTTGGGTATCCAAGTGAAATGTTCATATAGCCAGTGAACTGACGGATTTTGGCTGGTTTTGAGTCATTGATACAAATTAGAATAATCTAGAGTTGTGGATTGCAAAAGCAATTATTTGACGTGAAATGCAGTTTCAAACCATCTGCTCACTGTAAATTGTTTTTCATATGCTGGAATTTTAATCTTAAGCAAGTAATTGCTGTATTGTTAGACAAGGTAGTTCTGTTCGGGCAACCATTATCTGAGGTCTCCATCAGTAAAGATACTGCCGTCTCAGAACTAAAACATACCGTAACCACTAACGTAGCTCTACCATAACTTTGTGTATGGTCTATGCAACAAAGGAATACCACCAAACTGAATACTTCAGACGTCATTGCTAAGACAATGGGGCCGCATGAAGCCCATTTCTTCCACTTTTATATGGGTGTGTGATGTTCCATATAAATGTAATGTCAGGGGTAAAAATCTGCATCTTTGGTAAAAGTTTATTTTATTTTGCGGAAATTATTCGATTGTCTCTCGATGTGAGTCACTGAGTAAGTCACCGATATTTATAACACATTTTGATGTCTTCTGATGCCCTACATCCTTTTTATTCTTATCATTTTATTCCTCCTCTTCTTTGGTTTGACCTTTCCCAGGTCGTTGTTGTGCGCATTTAGGTTGCACTTCCACCTCTTGATCTAGTCTTGACAGGATCCCG